TAAATTCAGTAAAATTCGGATGCTAGAAACGTCGTTAAGCAAAGTTTGGGCCTACAGCTTTTTATAATATAATCAGAGAACTATTTTATTATTCCTCTCCCCCAATGGCTCAACTGTACGTCTGAAGGCTAATAATGCTAAAAATTGGGTTTTAATACCCACAGTGGACAGAACACAGATAGCAAATTGCGTAACTTTATGCTTAATAATAATCAAATAAAATATTTAATCATGTGCAGTTTGTTTACTGGATGCGTTAAGGTTCGATAAAAACAAACTTTGCATTCCATTGTTATTTACGTTTGTATTTTTTTGTTATTTAACCCACGACACTTATTATACCGAATGACTTTTCAGTACTTGTCCAAGTTTTGTGAAATTCAAGAATAATGAAGAAGCTAAGTTTTTGTTCTCCATATCAACTGTTTTTTGTTCAAAGTTTCTTAATTAGTCTTATAGAACCATGGCGTTTTAAATTCTCTGAACACTTTAAACCGGTTATTAAATGGTTAATACACTTTTTATCATAATAACTAAGCTATATCATAATAAGCATGAATCACTGACGTCATCCAATTTACTTCTTTAAAAGGTTGATGACATCATCAATCTTTATAGGTTTTACTGCCATATTACATTTTTCCGCGAAGCGAAACATAGAACATACTAAATGGGTTATTCAGAAACAGATTGGCCCCTATTATAGTCGCGCCAAGCTTTAAAAGTAATTTCTCATCAACCCCACGTAAATGAGGTTACAAACTCGAGTAAATTAATGGTTTCAGGAAAAGTTTTCAGCTAATTATCCTTCCGAAATTAAAACAAATACATTGGGCTTCAGTGTAACCATTGCATTTTATCTACATAACAGAGAGAGGTATTTATAAGTTCAATCTTTCATTTTTCTCTCTCTCAATACATGCCATATAAAAAGTGTTTGGATTGTATTTGAATAACATACTTTTATAATTTTTGTGGAATAATACTTTTTTTCTTTTTTTATATAGTTTGTTACAACAAATTTGAAATTGTGAATTTTTATTAACTCAAACTTAGTCAGAACAGAGCCCTCTTTAGGCCCCCGAGTCACGGAGAAAATATTAAGCTTAATCTTAGAGCAAAGCTTTTCCATTTTGACTTAATTACAAATAGATTATAAACTGTAGTGAATAAAATCTTTTAAATTACCCCTGCTTTATCACTTATTCAAATAACTTCACAAGAAAATTTTATCACGAAAACGTACTAAATCATTTTATGAAAATATTGATTTTCTCTAATATATTGTTACGACAGCGGAGGTCACGTGACCCTAGTAACACGTCATATTCTCGAAGCTTCATGAATCCTCGGGAGGTTACTAGATTTCGGTATTCTTTTATAAGACGGTCAAGACGTGACGACAACAATGTAATCTGTGTAATTGAACTGCGGACAGACTATTGTTGAGTTGAGCACGTGAGACGTTCGTTGTGAATTATAGCGTTTGTTATAGCGCGACTGTGGAAATTAAGTGTATTGCAAAGTTGTATTCAGAAAGAATAAACCAGTTTTATTTAAGAAAGGACTTGTGTCGCTAAAGTTTCATCGGAAATAATTTTTACGGAAAATTAACTAACGAACGGAGGCGTAACAATATTAACGTCCTAAATCATTTTATGAAAATATGCTACTTTTGTCTAAAATATTTTACTTTCCAAATAGATAAAATATAGGTGTAGTTCTACGCAAATATAAACTCGTTTCTGTCGTAAAATTATTAAAATAAATTTAATTTTATTATCATCATGGAATTATTATATTGCCTAATTGACTGCTGCTTTCTTTCTTTATTTGTTTTGTTATAGGTAAAACCAAATTCATTTTAGTATAGTGTTTGACATAACTTAAATAGAAAACAACAGATGGCATTGCTCTGTTTGTTTGCAGTTAAGCGCAAAGCTACACCATGGGCTGTCTATGCAGTGTCTACCACGAATATCAAAACCCGAATTTGTAGCATTATAAGTCCGCAGACTCACTGCTGATGCACTTAGGGTGGGGGTGGGAGGCTAATGGCAATTGCTCAGAATGATATTAGTTCCTGAAAATATATAAATGAAGGTAAGAATAGTTAAATGTTGTAGACGAATTTCATGAAGTATGTGTGTGTGTTTTTTTGAGATTATAAATAGGCCTGCGAATTTAAAATTCATTTTGGTTTTAATAACGGATTTTCCATAGTTCAACAACGCAGATTTCGAAAATTATTTTATTATTATAAGGATTTTTTACAAATCGGGAAGATAACACAATTCTTACTTAGGTCAAATTATTATTTCGTTT